GCTCACCTCAGAGAGAATCTGGTGTCTCTGTCAGCCAGACTCAGGTTCTAGGCCTGCTGTCTGGCTGACGTGTGAGGCCTAGTTTCCCCGCCTGTGAAATGGGAATGAAGGGGCAGGTTCAGTGTGTGCAAACCCTGGCGTGGAGCTCGGCCTGACTGCTGGCGGCAGGAATGCCTGCGCTGGGGGCCAGCGCCAATGCCACCTCGCGTGGGATTTTCAGGACAAGATGAGAACTTGGAGTCTGTTACCAGTGCGCTGGAGCAAGTGGGATGTCTCTGAGGCGGGTGGGGCAGTGAACCCACCTGGTTTGAGTCTGGGAAAGATTGTTCTGGCTGCTGGGTGGGGAAGAGACTGGAGGGGACCACGAGTGGAAGTGGGGAGCCCTGTGTGCCTGGCTGGAGTCCTCTTGGCCTGGATGGCCAAGAGGAAGGGGCACAATGGGGACACATTGTGTACCCCCAAACCTCCCCCACAGCTGTGGGGCTTTCTGTGGAGGATTTGAGGACATTCTCCCAGCTCAGCTCAGCCTACTCTCTGCCTCTCTATCTAGCGTGTCCTTCTCAAAAGGAGGATCCCCAGGCCTGGGGTGGGGGGCTGCCCCTTCCCCTGTCAAGCAGCCTCAGTTGGTGACGGCTGCACTGCTTTCCCTCTGGTCCCCCTCCAGGCGGTGGCCGGCTGGAGCTGCCCCTCCTCCCTCCCTGTCCTGGGGCCCCAGCCAGTGACCTGTTCTCAGGACTGGTCACTTCGGGCTTCTCTGTGCCTTTGGGACCCCTTGGGTGCTCAGGACATGTTTGCTGAATGAATGAAAGGTAGAGGAATTGGAAGCCTTGGGCAGTGCGTGCAGGCAGGCCCACGGCCTCCCTGAGGGAGGCAGTTGGTGCTCATCCTGGCTGGGACGCTGTGGTGCAGTGGAAGGCGGTGGCACAGCAAGGGAGTGAGGCGCCATTTGCGGGGTCTGGGTTGGCACAAGTCAGAGTGAAGACAGGGTCCTAGTGCGAGCCTGGGAGTGACATGCAGTGAACAGAGTGAACACTGTCGGCAGTGGGTGCTCCTTACAAACTGGGTCCACAGTTTCTGGCTTCGCCCGGAGGTGAATTTTTTTCTCTATATGTGCTTTATAAAGTTTTAAGTGAACTCACGTATCAGGGCAGGAAATAGACCATCTGCCACAATAGCAGCAATGAATGCCTGTCCTGCCCAGCTGTCCTCCCCGGGAGAGCCAGCCTTCCAGAGAAGTTTCCAGAAATAGTCCAGGCTTAATGAATCTTGCCCATTATTCTTGTCTTTGTGGTGGTTGTGTTTATTATCCTCTCTGGCAGCCAGGAAGCCTGGTTCCAGGGCGAGGGGACTTGGGGTCACTGCCAGCCAGCTTTAGAGGGGCTTTAGAGCCCTGTGGTCCCGTCCTCTGACACACCTGCCGGACCCCCTCACTCACAGCCCACACGCTGATGCCCAGGGGGCCAGGCCCTCAGCCTCCATGAAGCCTCGGGCGGGTCTTGCACTTCTCTGCGGCTCTGGCCTGCGTTCACCTTCCCCTCGGCAGGGAGCTGGACCTGATCCTCCTTCAGGGTCTTCACCCCGTGTCCTTGCTTCTGTGCAGGCAGGAGCTTTGCAGTGCACCCTCCTGCTCATCCCATTCCCTGCTCTCAGGGAGTCAGCAGCGTACAAGAAGCCCCCCAACCGAAGCAGGGCCGCTAAAGTAGGGCAAGAGGGAGGACCCTTTCACGTAAGTAAAGTGCATCTTTCCAAGAGGTCTGTGACCTTTCCTCAGTAAGACAAACGAAACAGAAATCTGAGCTGATCCTCCCCTGCCCAAAAACACAAAAACAAAAACTAATAACACACGCGGAACAATGCCTTGAGAGGAAGAGAAAGGTTCTAGGATGTTCAGTAAGTAGTCAGCAAGTCATTCCCAAAGCTTGGAAAAAAGTGTCCTCTGAATGCTTCGCTGAATAAGGAGCTTTCTGGAAGGCTGGGTAAAAAGGGTGGTTGGGAGACATGGGTGGGATAAGAGTAAGGAGAGCCGGCCTCACATGTTTTTGAGGCTTAGGTGTTGGGGGTGTGTGTGTGTGACCGGATGAAGGTGTTGGAGGCCTGAGGTAGCCTGTGCAAAGGGCTTGGGGGTGGTGTAGGAGGGCGAAGGAGGGGGCTCCTCCCCGTCAGACTCCTGCGTGCAGCAGGGCATCTAGTTGAGAGCGACTGTGTGCTTGCCTGCACTGCCACAACACCCACGGTGCCCCCCAGCCCCCTAAGCGGAGGAGGGAGATCTTTATCTGGCCCCTAGGTGCTTTCATGCTCACCAGTGTGCTCCCTGCCTCCCCACCCCAGGCCTTACCCCTCCACTCTACACAGGAAGTGGGCTGGCCCTGGGGTTTTAGTCTCGACCCCATCAGTCATCTGCTACCTGGGTCAGAACAGGAGTGGGGCCCGGGGAGATGGCCACAGTCCCAGCGTCGGAGACAGCCGGAGAGCGAGTGCCGCAGCCCCATGTCCCAGCCAGGTGACACCCTGTTCCCCTGCCCCAGCCCTGCCTGGTCCCTGCGTGGTCCCCGGGCTCTTTCCTGCGCACTGTCTCCAGCCAGGGGGCTGGAGTGAAGGTCATGGGTGACTTTCAGCTCTAACTCAGCCCTTCAGCCTGCTGGTCTGAATGTCCACCTCCAGGCCCTCACCCCAACTTTATCTTAGAATCCCTGCCGGGAGGCAGGCCAGTCTCTTGGCTCCTGGCTTGAGGACAGCTGGTCTCCCATCAGGGAGACTCCCGCAGGGAGGGCTGGGGGCTCTCTGGGGCGAGGGTGCTGTGCTGGGGGGAGGAGGTGGGCTGGCTGGCGGCGCCCACGACAGGCCGGTGCAGGACGGGCGCTGGGGTGCGAGGGAGAGCCTGTTGAATGAATGAAAGGTAGAGGAATTGGGTGGAGAGCTCCCCAGGAGGCGTGAGGGTTGAGGGAGGACAGCAAGACCCCCGCAGCCCGGCAGTGAGGGATTTTGTGGGGTGGTCCTGGGAGCACTGGGCTGGAGGCCGCACCCCGCGGTATGTGTCCTGGTTTGGCCCTGGCTCCACGGCGTGGCAGAGCAGGTCAGTGGCGTCTCCGGGCACTTGGGGGAGGCATCCCACTCAGAGGTTGGGGGACGTGTCTCCTACCCTTGAGCTACTGCTTTTCTCCCCCCCAGTCCACCTCATGCCCGGGACCCTCACATAAGCCCCAGCGGGGGTCTCAGCCTGCCCCTGTCTGGGTTCAAATCCCGGCTCTACCCTCTAGCTTGGGCAAGAGACTTTCCCGCCTCTGTTTCCTCGTCCGAGAAAAGGTCGGTCCTACTCATAGCGGGAGCCCTTACTCATCACAGTACCAGCTCCTGGGGCTGGCTCGGGGGGTGCGAGCTTCCCAGGGCCTCGGCTGCCTGGGCACAGCGAGCGAGCGGGCTTGTTAGTCATCCCCTGCTGCCGTCACTGTCACGGTCACCACCTGTCGTCTTCTCCCCTCCCCGAGTCCCCGCCCCACACGGTCTTTCTCTCCATCTCTCCTTTTCCTGCTTCTTCGGCTGAAATCTGAGTCTGAGCGGCCCCGGGCAGCACCCACCTCGCGCTGCGGCGGGCCCGGTGAGTCAGGCGTGCAGGCAGCTGCAGGCGAGGCAGGCGCGTGTGTGTGGGTGTGCGTGAGAACCCCGGGGGAGGGTGCTCGGGACTCCAGGGTCTCGCTCACCTCCCCCAGGCTGGGCCCCTTCCTTGCTGCGTGACCTTGAGCAGGTTCCTCAGCCTCTCTGAGACTCAGTTTCCCTCTCTGCTGGCGGGTGCCCCCTCAGAGGCCTCCTGAGCCCTGCCAGCGCCACCCCTGCCTCTGCCTCCAGGGCTGGGGGTGGGGGGTGGGGGGGTTGGGGGGGGCTGAGCCCTCTCCCTGCGCTTCCCTGCACACGCTGGCTGCGGGGTGGAGGATGGGGGGCTGGTGCCGGCAGCTGCTGCTCGGTTCCCCCTCACCTTGGCTTGATCTTCCTGGGATCTTGCTCCTTCCTCCTCCGCTCACCCTGGGGTTTTGTCCTGGGATGGGGCTGCTCTGCTGGCTGGGCCTGACCTGACTGGGCAGTACCCCAGAAGGGACCGACAATGCCTGTACCCCAGGGCCACCATCAAGCATGGAAGGGGCACAGGAGAGGCTGGCGAGTGCCCCTGGGCTCGTCTGCACCCGTGAGGTCCCAACCCATGCCTGTGCTGCAGGATGGGGGGATCCAGAGGAGGTGGTGGCCTGTGCCCCACTGGGTCCTAACCCCTGGGGTGGGGACCCTCAGGGCATGAGATTGTGCCTGGAATGGGGTTTGGGATGGAGCCCGGGAAAGGCATCCCAGCTTTGCGTCTGCCGTGCATGTCATCTTGGCAGGTGGGTGACTTGGCGCCTCAGTTTCCTCACCCGTATAAGGGGATGGTACGAGCAGCACCCCCTGCAGCTGGTGTGCTAAAGTGCTTGGCACGGCCGAGACCTCAGCGCACCCTGGGGTGCTGTCCTGACATAATCAGAACACTGTCACGGTCGTGGGAAGATGCGGAGGAGTTCCCGGGGGCTGCCTGGGCTCGGGCGGTCTGCTCCGGCTCCAACGCCACATCTCCTTGGCTTCATCCAAAAGTGGGGATGGGAGGTTCTCCAGTAAACACTCCCATTGCTGTCTGAAGTAGAGCCTGGCCTCAATAGCCTCTTGAGAAGGATGTCTGTAGGGCTGAGGGATCAGCAGGGTAGAGAGGAGGCAGGTCTCTGCCAGCTCCCCTATGTGGGCATAGCAAATGCTTCCACTTCTGGGCCTCAGTTTCCCCAGGAAAGGTTTGGACTTGCTCAGGGAGCCCCTTCCGCTCTGACGGTGTATGGGTCCCTGAATGTTTGAAGGAAGGGTGCTCGCGGCTGTGGGACAGGAGGACACCATGTGCAAAGGCCCTGAGCTGCTATGGGGACTGAGGGGGCAGCGAGGGCCAGACACAGGGCGGGTGCTCACTCGCGTCTCTCCCTGCTTCCTACCTCCAGGGCTCCCTTCCCCGGGTCCTGCCAGTAGCTGTGATGGCGGTGCCTACTCTGTCCTGGAGCCTGTCCCCCCTCATCCTCCTCCTGACTCTGGCCCTCCCTGGGGCACTCACAGCAGCGAATGGTGAGGACCTGACATCTGGACAGCTGTGCTGTCCCTCAGGGAGGAGGCCAAGGCTGTTCCAGAATCCCTTCCTGGGCCCCTGCCTCTTGGCTGAAGGTCCCTCAGGAAGATAGAAGGCACAGAGGAGGGGGCAGCAGCCAGGCGCCCAGAGATCAGGAGCCCCCAGCCTCATCCCGCCTGGCTGTGTGCGTGGCCTGCCCTGCCCTGGCCTGCCTGTGGGGCCTCGCGGGCTCTGGGCTCAGTCTCCTCCTTTCTGCAGTGGGTCCACTCACCCCTCCCCTGCCCACTGGATTGCTCACCTCCTCCTCTGGGTGGTGTGGGGTGCTGGGAGGAGGGGTCGGGGAGCCCATAGTGCACGGGCACCCTCAGCCAGCCCCTCGTTTTGCCAGCAGGCACTTCCTCGCTCACGTGCTTCTACAACTCCAGGGCCAACGTCTCCTGTGTCTTGAACCAGACTAGGGGCCTTCAGGCCTCGTCCTGCAAAATCTACGCCAAGTCAAACCAACGGTGCGTGTGGGCCTGGCGATGCCACAGCCTCTCGGGACGGTGGGATGTTCTAACCACTGACTTTTAGGCTCATGAAATCCTGCATCTCAAGCTCCAAGGTGTCAGGCAGCGGAGGGCGAGTCCATGGGCCTCCTAGGCCGGTGGAGGGTTGGTCTGCACCTTCCAGCCCGCGGGGGACTTGCAGCTTCCAATGGCAGGGCTAGTGTCTTGAACTGGTTTGAGTTTCTAGATTGACCTGGCTGCTGTGGGACCAGGCTGGGACCGGGAGGGCCAGAAGGTGCTGGTGTGGGGAGGAGGTGGGGAGCAGGTAGGGGACCGGCAGGAGCCCCTGTACAGCCTGGCTTCGCTGACCATGCCCAGGGCCAGTGGGGCGTCTGAGAAGGGCCTGGGGCTGGTCCTTCCTTCCTCATTTCTAAGGAGGCTCTTTTGCCTTGAAAGGCCATGGATCAAGACCTGCGAGCTGAAGCAGCTGGCCAGGCCTGACTCCTGGATCTGTAACCTGATCCTGTCAGAAAACAATGTGAGTACTGGGGGTGGGGGGTGCCCTGCGAGAGGGTGGGGTGAGACCCGTGCCCTTCCAGTGGGGCAGCTGGGCCCATCCCGCCAGCAGCTGCACTGAGGGGCCGGTAGAGGAAGGAGCGCATGTCTGAAGGCCAGAAGTGAGGCTTGATGTGACCTTGGGGCCGGGGTTCCCTGCAGCCCGAGGCACCTGCCTCTGCTCCAGCTTCCTGCTGTACCCCGAATCAAGTGGGGAGGACCCCCAGTAGGAATAATTACCACCACGTCTGACTAGTCCTGAGGTCTGGCAAGTGCAGGGTGGTGTGGGGTCAAGAGTGGATTCCAGAGCAGGACAGTCTGGTTCTGGCCTCGGCACCAGGGCCTACCAGCTGGGTGACGGTAGGCAGCGTCCATCTGTGAAATGGGCAGAATTATGGCGCCCACCTTGTAAGGTTGTTCTGAGGGTCCACTCGGAGCCGACATGCACTTGACGCTGTCGTTAGACGGGTCCCTATGACTCTGTGGGTGGGCACCAGCCCCCCTTGTCATGGATGAGGAAGCTGAGGCTCAGAGAGGTGTGGTCCCTGCTCAGGGTCACACAGCCAGGCAGCAGCAGAGCTGGCTTTGAACCTAGGCCTTTTGGACCCTGGCCCGGGCCTTTTACCCTTGCACGAGGCTGCCTCGGGAAGAGGTGGGCGTGTCCTTGGAGGCACACAGCAAATTCTTGTCTGTCAAACTCGCCTCAGCCAGCAGTGACACCAGGGATGCCCAGACCATATTTTACCGCCAAGCATCAGGTTAGAGGCTTTCTCAAGGGAAGGAGAATATGGAAATAGGGTCACACAGTGTGGCTGACAGAGGGGCAGGCCCTGGAACCACAGGCTATGTCTATCCCATGAGCTCTGCAGACAGCCTGGCCTCACAGCCTGGCTCCAGAGTTTCCTTGCTGGTGACCTTGGGCAAGTCCCTAAGCCTCTCTGTGCTTCAGTCTCCTTCACCGTAGGTGAGAATAGTGCCGTCTCCCAGGCTGACAAGAGTGAGATGATAATCTATGAAAAGGGCTTGGCATCCAGGAAGCACCTGCAGGAGGGATACTGGCCGTGTCTCTGCAGCGGCAACAGCGTAATAGTAGTGAGATGACAGCACTCTTGCTGTCTGGGAGAACCTGACCCCCACAGCAGCTAGACGTCTGGGCAAGGCCCTTGCGGGACAGGAGGAATTGCTTCCTGACTGACCAGTTCTGGGGTGATCAGGTTCAAGGTTTGGTCTTAGCGGGGCTTGAAGCAGGCCAGAGGGGCTGTTCCTGGGACCCAAACCCCCCCCCCCCCAGGCCCCGAGCACAGAGCCTGGCGGGCCTGCACCAGCCCAGCCTCCTGCAGACCTCCCTGTGCAAGGGGGCTTGCTGGGCCAGGGCTGCAGTCTCTTTGTGGAGCTTTGGATACAGAGGCCTGGATTGGAGCCTCAGTTCCCAGGTGACCAGAAGCTTGACCTTGGGCAAGTTCCTAAACCAACCCAGCCTCAGCTTTCCCACCCACAGGGAGAATCAGCCAAAGAAATGCTAAGGCGCCTGAGCAGTGCCTGCCCAAGGAGAGGCTCAACACCTGACATTTCCTTCTGGAAAAGCCAGAGTGTGGGGCTGGGAAGAGTTGGGGAGAGGAGGGGAAACTTTTACCCTCCAATTTGTTGAGCAGGTACCATTGCACTGTAGACCTTTTGGGGCGCTCTCTGCTTGCATGCCTCTTGGCATGCAACCTCCTCCCTCCCAGGCAGCTCACTTCACTTTAGAAAGGGCTTGGCAAACTATCATGGCCCATGGATGAGATTCATCTTGCTGCCTGTTTTTATAAATAAAGTTTTATTGGCACAGCACCCATTTGCTCAAGTGTTGTTTATGGCTGGTCTCCCACGACATCAACAGGGGTGAATAGAATTCACAGGGCCTGGCAAGTGAAACAATTGACTAGCTGAATCTTTGCAGAAAAAACTTGCCAACCCCTGTGTCAGATGGTGGTGGGCACATGGTGGAAAGGGGCCAGCTTTGTGCAGTGTGGGTCCCCCTCCCCCCCCCATCCTCTGCTGTCTCCTATGTGCTTGTCCACAGGCCTCCCTCCCGGCTCTGCTGCTGACAGCGACCTCTCTGCTCTTGTCCCTTAGGACTCTCAGAGTCTGACCGCGGCCGACATCCTCAACCTGACCTTGATGTGCGACCACGAGGGGCCCTCGAGGATGGTCCTGACGCAGCTTTTCGATCCTTTCAGAAACAGTGAGTGAGGGCTCTGGGGGGCCTATGATGGGGCCGGCACAACCTTCCTGTCTTCCTCTCTGGGTACTTCTGTGCTCCTGGCCCTGGCATTCAAGGCCACTCAGGACCCTTCCTGAGTGTGTGTGTGGGGGGTTCCCCTCCAGCTCTCCCCTCCAGCTCTCCTCCCCTTGTGGCCTGGATTCCGCTGCTCCAAAGCCCAGGTCTCTGAACACGGTGTGCCCATCCCCGCCTCTGAGCTCTGCCACGCGGGCTCTCGCTTCTCAGCAGGGTCTCCCATCTGGAAAACCCCCTTGCCTCCTCCAGGAGCCTCCCAGGCTCTCACGGCCCTTGGCACCTCCTCGTTCTGGCTTCTGCTCTGGCTGCCACTTTCTGATTAAGGGACTGTCTCCTCACTGGGCTGTGAGCAACCTGAGGGCAGGAACTCTGCCATCCCTGTCTCCGTTCTGAGCACCTAAACCCAAGCCTGACCTGGGCGGTGCTCAGGAAAGGTTTGTTGAGTGACTGAGTGCCCAGCCCCACCTACTGCTCTTCTGTCCTCCTCCAGACCTTGGGGGCCGTCACTTGGGAAGAAGTAGGGCAGAGGGTGAGGTCCAGGTAGGGCTCTAAATGCAGCCCTGCCCTGCTGGGTCATCTGACTGGCAGATCATTGAACATGTTGGAGCCTCAGTCTCCTTGTCTGTAAAATGGGAATAATCAGTTACTGCAGCACTTGCCGATGTAAGGAGTCTGCGAGCCCAGACAGAAGCTGTTTAGCACATATTCCAGGAACATTCACTTAGCGTTACCTGTGTAGTTCTACAGTCTCAGAATTATAAAAACATATCAATTTAACTCCAGAATCATAAAATTGCGTAATCATAGAAGATTAAGGAGATCCCATTAAATTAAATTGAAATGATCCATGTGAAACTCTCCAGTTCTGAGTGCAGAGAAAGCCTGCTTTGATTCATTCATTCAGCAACTATGGAATCAAGCACCTGTCATATGCCAGGTAATGTTCCAGGCATCTCAGGGGCATCACAGAACAAAGCCCCTGCCCTCTGCAAGCTTGCAGTCTGGAGGGGAAAACAGAAAATGAGCAAAGACTTAAAAATCGCTATGTAATATGCCAGGTGGTGATAAATGATGGGAAGAAAAGTAAGCTGGGTGATGGGACAGAGAGTGGTGGGTGGTCAGGGAGGGCTTCTTGGAATAGGGGATATTTGAGCAATGGCCTGAGGTTTTCTGGGGCAGGGGCATGACGGGGAGCAGAGGCAAAGGAGGAGGATCGCTCATCTCAGCTTTATCATTTCTGCGTCATGGCCCAGTGTCCCCCAAACCTCCCTCCTCTCTCTCCCTCCTCCAGTTCGCCTGATGGCTCCCACCTCCTTCCAAGTTACTCACATAGAGCCCCGCAGATGCAATGTCACCTGGAAGGTCCCACTGTCTTCCCATTACCTTCAAGACACCCTAGAGTTTGAGGTCCGGCTGAGGTGCCCAGGCCAGAGCTGGGAGGTGAGTAGCTGGCCAGGCCCAGCCTGCCCTGACTGTTCCTTCCTACCACAGCGGCCCCCAGGCAGCCCCCCACTCCTCTACTGTCTGCTCCTGCCTCCGCCTCCTTCACATGCCCCCTTCCACCCTAGGGGCCCCACCCAGGGTCAGATCCAGGGCTGACTCCCTGGCAGGACAGAAAGGAAGCCACCTCCCCACCCTTCAGATCCACACGGTCAGGACCATGGGCCTCTTCATGCACATGCTCATTTGTTTATTTGCTCTCTCACCCACTCAGCAAACATTTTCTGCACACCTGCCGTGTGCTGGGGGCTGGGGGAGGAGGAGGGCGTCATGACACACCTGCTCTCAGGAAATTCACATGGGTGGAGAGGGGCAGTCTGGGAATGCAGGTATCCATCAGTGCTATCAAGACAGTGAAATGCCACCACACATTTCATTGGGGGTTGGGGCAGGCCTCTCCAGACTCAGGTAACTAGGGAAGACTGCTTGAAATCTGAGGGTCAAGAAGAAGCTGACCTTGTAGAGATCCAGGGAGGGTTTTCCAAACAGAGGAAGCAGCCACTGTCTGGGCGAGAGGCTGCTTGTGTCTCTGGGGAAAGGAACAACGTAATGAGCACGCGGAGGGGAGGAGGTGGGAAAACCGCCTCTCTGGCGGTGTGAATAGATTTTTTCAGAGCCGGTGCAAGCAGAGGCCTGCGACTAGCTCTGGGCCTGTGAGGTGGAGGTGGCGGGGGCCCAGACCTGGGAGGAGAGTGGGCTGGGGGGCAGCTTGACTGCCAGCCAGGGATGTGGGGAAGAGGAGGCTCAAGGTATGATCCTGGGGTTTGGGATGGAGGCCATTGGGTAGTCAGGGAGCCTAGGTAGGATGGGGGTACAGCTGAGGGGGTGTGGTTGGAGGCAGAAAAGAAAGTGCTACTTAGCCCAGTCTCCCGCCACAGGAGGTGAGGTAGGCAGTGGCGACCCTCTGCTCTGACAGCCCTGTCTCTTGCCAGGAGGTCTCCCTGATGCAAATCAAGCAGAACCAGCAATGGATCTTCCTGGAGACTCTGACTCCTGACACCCCATACGAGCTCCAGGTGCATGTCAAGTCTAGCAGATATGTGATCTGGAGCCACTGGAGCCAACCCCTGGCCTTCAGGACAAGGCCCGAAGGTACAGGAAAGGCTACTGGGCATGGCTCCGGGGATGCTGGCGGGGAGGCCTGGGTCGGGGTGCAGTGCTCAGCTACATGCATGGTCACCTGCTACCATGCACTCACCAGCTGTGACCCTGCAGGGTGGGCAGTGTGGGCACAACTGGGCCTATTTTACAGATGGGAACAGGGACATGGGAGCAGGACCGTGACCTTGTAAGTGAGTGGGAGGTCAGATAGACTTTTCACTTTCTTCTGCCCGAAACTGCAAACTCCAGCCTCAGTTTCCTCATCTGTAAAGTGGGTACCATGGTACCCAGGGCGGGCTGCGGTATCCCATGTCTGCTGGGCACACAGCTGCCACCCTGTGGAGGGTCAGAGGTCACCTGTTCCTTGGCGCAGGTCCAGGATGGGGGTGCTGGAGTGACAGGATTCGTGGGGACACTTCTCTAACCCCTGTCCCTGCCTCTCTCACCGCCAAGCAGCCCCTGGGAAGGAGATCCCGGCCTACACTTGGTTTCCCCACGTGATGGTGGGCCTCGGCATCAGCCTGTGCTTTGTCTTCCTGGTCTCCCTGCTGGCCAACTGCCATTACATTGGGCCCTGGTAAGAACCGCCCCCTCCCCCCGCCCGCCCCCAGTGCTGGTTTGACACATGTGCCCCTTGAAGCTTGGGTCCTGGCTGGAACTCTGCTCGGATACACCTGTGCTCCCTCTGCTCTCCCCACATCCTCCCTGCCTGCCCGGCCCCTGACCTTTCCCTGGGACCCAGCCCCGAAGTTGGGACCCCTTGGAACCAGCTTGAGGGGAGTGTTGGGAGAGCCCCATGGAGACCCTTCAAAAGCAGTATCCCCAGGGCTGGAGGATGTGTGTGTGCACGTGTGTGTGTGTGTGCACGTGCGTGCACATGTGTCTGCTGTCTGTGTGTTTAGGGGCGCCCGGTGAGTCCCTCTGGGTCTGGGCATTCATTAATGTGTTCCCCTATTAACTGAGCCCACTCATGCCAGGCACGCCGAGTGCTGGACATGTGGGCAAGCCACAAGCAAGGGGCCCACTTCATGGGCTCACAGCCTGGCGGGGAAGGCAAACGCTGATCACACATGTGCTGAGGATGGTGAAGGAAGAGAGGAGATGTGTCAGAAGCAGACAGAAGGGACAGGGTCTCGGCAGAGGGGTGACTAGGGGAAACCTTCCAGAGGAAGTGATCATCTAGCAAAATCTGAAGGAAGCGCTCACCAGGCAGGTGGAGGGGATGGCAGTACATCCCAGAGAGAGGAGACACCATGTACAGAGGCCCTGGTGGGGAGGAGGAAGGAAGGAGAGTATGGGGAGGCGGGTATGACAAGAGACCAGAGAGGGTCGGGAAGAGGGCTGCCTGCAGGCTGGCAATCTGGGCACTGCCAGGCTTTCTGGGGCTTTGGCACCCAGGGAGGCAGAAGCATACAACTACTGGAGGGCTCGCGTTAGCAAGGAGAGCATGGGCTAGAATGAAGCCCCCAGGGACATCCCTCCCCAAAGAAAAACCCAAGTGCCATGTGCAGTGCACAACCTGAACCACCGTCCATGGCCACCCTGATCGCGTAGCCTCTCCCCGCTCTGTCCTCCTGGTTCCCTCCGTTCTGGTTCTTCGGGTCCCCGCAGGCACAGCTTTTTCTGAATAGCATCTGCTTTGTCCACAGAATGAATAATACTGTCACACACGTGACTTGTGTCTGTCTCCACATTAACATGTCAGTTCTTGAGAACAGGGGCCTTCTCTGTTGGGCTTTCTGTGTCCCCAGCGCCTGGGACAGTCCCCTCCTTTAGTGATCAAGACTGACCAAATGGATGAAAGATATGGAGGGGCTCTGTGCGTGCCCTCAGAGCTGAGGGGCTCAGGGCAGGACACCATGGTCCCCTTCCTTTCTGACCAACTTTCCCTCCTCCCCTCTCCCCCGTCCAGGCTGAAGAAGGCTCTGAAGTGTCACATCCCAGACCCTTCAGAGTTCTTTGCCAAGCTCAGCTCGGAGCATGGAGGAGATTTCCAGGTAGGTGCCTGCAGGTGGATGGCGGGAAGGCAGCGGGCCAGAGGGTAGGGCATGTGAGGGGTGGGGAGGTGGTGCTCCAGGAGCGGTTTTGCACCTTGTAGAGGAGACAGAATGCAAAGTGGGCAGGCTGGGCCCTCTCCCAGAGCTGGCACCTTTGTTCTCAGGCTGAGTGGCACCTCCTGTGGGAGCCAGGCAGCTTGGGTTCTAATCCCGGCTCCACTACTTCCTGGCTGTGTGAACTTGGGCAAATTGTGGAACCTCTCTGTGCTGTTTCCTTGCCTGTAAAATGGAGGGCAGGTGGTGTTACCATGCATGTGGCCCAACAGCGCTGCCCAGCGTGCAGTCAGTGCTAGCACCCCTGCAGTCAGTCTGCTGCCCACGTTCTCCCCTCCACGAGCTACACAGACCTGCTCCGCAGGGACGGTGCTGCCCTTGGCCTGCCCCAAAGCCCTGGTTCCCAAACAGGCCCATTTTCCAGCGCCCACCTCGTAGTAGCTACTCTCCAAACTTTGCTTAGAGTTGCCTCCCCTCCCCCAGGAGACATCCATTTCAGGAAGGTAGCCTCGAGGTGGAGGGGGATACGGCGGGCTGCTTCTAGCACCCGGCACCCACTCCAGGCTCCCTAGATGGTTAAGGGGTATGAGGTGGGGGTGGAGGGAGGTCAGGAGTAGCTTAGGGGCTGGAAGCCACTTGGAACCATGAGCTGGCTTTGGGGTTCTCTGTCAGGGCTGATCAGGGCCCCTCTGGGATTGCTTGGAAACGCCCAAGACTAGGGACGGCTGACCTGCAGTACTCTTGCTGTGAGGGAATCTGTCTCCTTAAGATCCCTCCTTCAGTCCTAAAGGCAGAGAGCCCCCACCCAGAGAGGCATCCAAGCAACACTTGGCTGACTGAGCCACATAGCGGAAGGGGTTACTGCATGGGAGCTGGGTGCAGGCTGGACTAGGTGCCTCCTCAGACCTCTTCCAGGTGGCAGTCCTGATTCTAGGATGCTTTGAGTGGGAGTGGGGAGTGGGGTCCTTCCTGGAAAGCTGTGAACTACCCCATCTTTGCCCGAGGTCACCCTAGATCTAGATGCCTGGCCAGACCTAGGCTGAGGAGGAGGCATCCCAAAGAGCCCCTGGGGATGCACGGTGTGGCTGGGGCTTGGGGCTGACCAAGAGGCCCCCCTTCTGCATCTCTTCCCCGGGACCCCTGCCTCTAAGGTGCCAAGGCCTGCTGCCCTGTTCATGGACCTGGGAGTGTGTGTGTGTGTGTGTGTGTGTGTGTGTGTGAGAGAGAGAGAGAGAGAGAGACAGAGACAGAGACAGAGACAGAGACAGAGAGAAACAGAGAGAGACAGAGAGCTGGGTTTTTCCTTGTGTCCCCTCCCCCCTGCTTTTTGAACAGAGCCCAGGTCCAGGAAGTGGTTGACCACACACACCTGAGGGGCCCAGGGGAGCCCTGGCACACGAGTGCCAACCGCAGGCCTGGCCTCCCCTCTGTCCACGGGCTCAGCGCGGCTGTCTGGCCCTGCCCCCGCCCCCCCTTCTGTGTCAGAACCCCATCGACCTCTCCCTTCCTAGCTTGCTCTCCTCCGCTGCCATGCTCAGTTTACCCTCGCTGTCTCTCTTCCAGACTTTCTCCTGTGAGGCGTGTGTGCGTACGTGCATATGCGCGCACATGTACATGTGTGTGTGCACGCATGCGTGTGGACGTGCATATATGCTCGTGTGTGCACACGCACACAAGTGTATGTGTGTGGATGCATGTGTGCGTGCATGTGACATCGCAGTCCTGCCCCGGGAACTCGCTCCAGGAGGGAGAAGCAGGACATGTCTCCACCGGTCCGTTCATTTGTCTGAGCCGATTGATTGGGCCCCAGGCCCTGCGCTGGGACTGCTGGGAAAGTGCACCGGGCTGGGAAAGTCCAGCTGCTGAGGGCTCCCAGGGCAGAGGGCTATTGTGGCTCTCAAGTGTCCCACCTGAGTCTCCCCGCACACCGCCCTGGGGGTCCTGCTGCCCCCTGCTGCGTGCTCGGGGACACAGCCTGTGCTGGGCATCCCACCTTCATTTTCTGATTCGACCCCTCCCTGCTGGCTGCAGCAAGAGGGTCCAGAAAGAGGGGGCTAAGTGCAGTGGAAACTGAGGCCCAGACAGGTGCAGTGAGCGGCCTGGGGTCACATGGCTAGTGAGTGCAGGGACAGGGCCGGAATCTGCCTCTCCCAGCAGAGCCCGGGGCCCGCTGGACTCCAGAGCTGGGAAGGTTCTCTCTGCAGGGAGGGGGTGGGGGGGGCGGGGTGAAGGAGGGGCATCAGCTTCCAACCAGGGGTCTCCATGGCAGTGAGTGGGGAGTCGGGGTCCCCACTATAGCCGGCTGTGTGATCAGGACCAGGGCTCACCCAGCGCTGGGCATCCGCAGCGTGAACACGACGGCTCGGAGGGCCTTTCTGCTTTGGCCTGGGTGGGCTGACTCGCACGCTCGTGCCCAACACTGGGGCTCCCCCTTTGCTACGTCCCTGTACTTAGAGCAGTACCGGGCTCATAATAGGTACACACCACCCTGCCCCACACTGAACCAGCATCTTCCCTGAGCACTTACTGTGAGCCAGGAAGGCTTGCGTGGGGACTGGGAAGAAAACACATTCCTGGGGCCAGCCCAGACGGTGACCATGCCAGTGCACGGGTCGGGGGTGCAATCAGGGGGGCTTCCCAGAGGAGGCGGTGTTGCGTGGCCTGCTGGAGGAGGAGAAGGCAGTGTCCGGCATCCCACTCACCCTCCCCCTGATCTTTCTCCTTGCAGAAGTGGCTCTCTTCGCCTTTCCCTTCCTCCTCCTTCAGCCCCAACGGCCAGGTGCCCGAGATCTCCCCACTGGAGGTGCTGGACCGGGACACTAAGCCCATGCAGCTGCTCTGGCTGCAGCAGGACAAGGTGCCCTCACCCTCGCCCAGTGGCCACTCGCTGACCAGCTGCTTCACCAACCAGGGCTACTTCTTCTTCCACCTCCCGGATGCGCTGGAGATTGAGTCCTGTCAAGTCTACTTCACCTATGACCCGTGCACAGAGCTGGACGAGGGCAGGCCTGAGACACCCGAAGGGTCTCCCCTCCCGCCCCTGCCGCATCTGCCGGGCGAGGACGATGCCTACTGCACCTTCCCCCCCGGAGAAGACCTGCTGCTCTTCTCCCCCAGTCTCATTGGTGGCCCAGTTCCCCTGCCTATTGTCCCGGAGTGCACTGGGGCTGGTGAAGAGAACCTGCCCCCCTCCCTGCAGGCAGGGGTTCCCAGACATTGGGTCCCCCAGCCCCTGGGGCCTCTCAATCCAGGAACCCCTGACCTGGTGGATTTTCACTCGCCCCTGGGGCCTGCATTGGGGGATACAGAAGATGAGGTCCCTGCCCCCGACTCTGGGGAAAGGCCTGGCTTCCCCTGGGTCAGCCCTCCCAGGCAAGGTGAGCTCAGGGTCCCCACCTCCTGCCTGACCCTGAACACCGATGCCTACCTATCCCTCCAAGAGCTCCAGGATCAAGACCCGGCTCACTCGGCGTAGACAGCTGCTCCAGGCTGGGAGGCAGGTGGCTGCCCGCTGTTGTCCCGGGCACAGCTGGGAACTCTGCCTTCAAGGCTTGTCTGTGGCTGAGCCACTGGGTGTCTCTACCCAAAGCATCTAACTCAACCCCGCACACTCGAGCTATTCCATTCCCACCCTCCATGCTGCTCCCAACCAGGACCTGCAGGGGAGGTGGCTCTGTGACTTCCTTGCCCCCGTCAGTCCTGGAAGCGCCCAGGTTTTGTTTGAGAAGCTGCTCTCTTCAGGGAGAGTTCTCGTGGGATTGCCCCTGTTTAACCCTACCAAGACTCTTCCCGGACCTCGCACCACTTCTTCGCCTGGCCCTTGGCCCTCCAGCATCGCGTGGAGACGTCCGCTTCTGGAGCCTCCCAGGGGTCCTGCCGACCGCTTGGGGCCTTGTTTGCACAAGCTGTTCTGCACTTGGGGTGCTCACTCCTCGCTCATCTGAGTGATGAATTCTGCCACCCTTCACGTGTCAGTTCTGCTCCCCCTGGGGGGCACGTCTCCTTGAGGGTGCTGAAACTGGAGATTCAGTGCTGGAGGGACCAGCTCTCAGGGTCACCGGACAGCTGGCCAGGAGAGACTTTTCACTACCCCCTTGGGTCTCTTGTGACCCCGGTGAGCCTGGCTAGGCATCCCTCATGCTATGCTTCAGTGTGGGCATGAATCTCCCCCAAAGTGGACTCTAGCTGGATCTTTCCATAATGGCTTCGCAGATAACTCAGGTTGCCTTCACACAAGGGGCGCCGCCACCGCACTGGAGGTCCCTGGTGCCTTGAGTGTATCTGAGTCCAGACTCAGGAAGGTCTGCGTGGGCACTGGCTCTGGCATGCCGGCTGCAGGGGGAAGCTCGCCCCCTTGCCGGGCAGTCCTGCCCCACCCACGCAGCCTTCCACTTGCTTCTCGGTGCTCGCACCACCCCCCTCACTGCCCGCCCCTCTGAATCAGACACTGATGACCCTTGTGATGTCCGTCACAACCTCTCCCCTCTACCAACGACCACAAAGGGCAGGGACTTCACCCCAGCCAACTGAGCAGTGAGGCCACTGCGCCCACACTTATAGACCCTGCTGGTAGCTGGGCACAAGCCTCCAATAGGTTGACCAGAGGCCTATGAGGTGGCTTAGCACAGAAGCCCTGTTCAGTCAGGGGGGTGGGGCCTGAGCAGGCAGATTAAATTGTGTCTCAGTCCAGGGCAGGGGCACCCCGAAGATCTGGTGCACATGGAGATGCTGGAGAGAAGTTGAGGACTGTTAACAGGGGGCCCTGGCTCCCGACACAGAAACTCCTGCCCCATGGTGACTGGGCTTTTACTCAGGAATCCTGTTTCCCTGAAAACTGAAATAAACCCCCCTTTCCCGAGGTTATCTACGTCTTGGATCCTCACCACAGAAGAGCATCATTGTCAGAGCCTCTCACACCCCACCTCCTGCCCCACGACGCTGTGTGTCTTGCTTGGCAAGGCCCCTCGGTCCGGCCTGAGCCAGACCCCGTCTGAGCACTCACACCCTGGCTCTGTGTCCTGAGGCAAACCGGGAAGTTCCTCGGCAAGTCGGTCTCACCTTGAAGGGCTATGGGGAAGGTTACATGTCTCAAGCCCTGGTTACTTGTATTATGTGTTGGTTTGTTTTTAAATGATCTGTATGTGCCGTTCTGTTATGGTTTATACCCAAGAGTCTTTGCAAATCATTTCACTTTTTTTTGATACTTTTATTTAAAGAAAAATCTTTTTATTTCTTCTGTACACCGAAAATTGATATTCACTTTAAATAAAGGTAATTGTGAAAAGTCAAGACAACAAGACAAAATGTTTTGATTGCTTGCCTGCTGAGGGGTCTGTTCTGTCACTTTGTTTAAAGGCGATGTTGAGAAAGCTGTGGAAGACACGCCAGCCCCGGGCAGGGATGTCCAGAGAAAGCCAAAGGACTGTAAAGAAAACAGGCTTTCACCAATAGGAGTCAGATCTATCTTATTGTGTATCTAGCACCCTCTGCACAATCTTATGGTATTATGGGAAAGTATCTCTCTCTCTTTCTCTTACACACACACACACACACACACACACAATTTTTTCACCAGTGCCCTTGACTCTGAGAAGTTGGGCCAGATCCTGGGAGGCAGTCTCTGGTATTCCATAAAGCTACACTTATGGCAGACGTTGCTAACTGACTGCACACGCATGGCAGACATTGCTAAGGGATCACAGTTCTCCCTGCAGAGGAGTGCAGCCTTAGATCCTGTAGGCAGGTTCTGAGCGCTCACCTGTTGCCAACTCTGCATCAGATAATCCCTCGGCTTCCTTCCACGATAGAGGCTATTTTTCCAGAGTCCAGTTTTCCAGGGAGGACAGCTGAGACTGTGATAATGGAGACTGGAAAGCTGAGAGGGCCCTATGAGCAGGTGTGTCCAGGGAACCCAGCTGTCACCACCATGCCCAATGACAGTCACCAGCTGGCAGTGAGCCAATTAAAGGGTTGCCTTATACCAGGCAGAGACGGACTGATGGGCCAGAAACCCTAGTGTGACGTGCCCAGGGTGGATAGAGTTTGGCCCTGGACAGGGATGTCCGGGGAGGGTGCAGATGACAGGGGTGGGAGGGGTGAAGGGGGTATGGGCTGGCCTGGGTCAGGTTGCAGGAACGAGGAGCTGCACCAGCTGGGGACCAGGCAGCTGAGGGACCTGGAGAGGCTGGCAGGTGTGGAGAGAAAAGTGAAGGGGGACAGGAGGCAGATTAGGGGATACGAGAAAGGGAGGAGGGATGAGAGGACTTCCAGCTAGTCTGGTTGCCAATTTACTGAGCTGTATTTGTCCCTTTACGTCTGCATCTCCTCCGTACTAATGTTCTCCCCCTACTGGCTGGCTCCCTCTCCAAGCAGGTCCTAATAGCCAGGGGAGAAGTCTGATAGAAACAGTCCGTGACTGGGATGGGTGACCTGCCACTGTCCTCCTAATTATTGACATCTGCATAACACCCATGGTCAGGAAGCACATTGAGAAGTGGCAAGGTGGGCCTCCCCTGGTGGCGCAGCGGTTGAGCGCTGGGCTGGGAAGCTGCCCACAGCCTCTGCAGTGCTGGTTCGATCCCCGGCAGCCAGCGAGGGTCCCACTTGGTGTGCAGACCTCTCCTGCCATGCCCACTGCTCCCCTCAGCAGTGTATTTCGTCAGTCTGCTTGTTCTGTTCCCCGCTCTGGCTCTCGTGAATTCTCTCACCCTCCCGCGCTTCTGACTGTACCCAGTGCTTGTATAAATAAATAAATAAATCTTAAAAAAAATAAAGAATGATTAACTCAACCAAATATTTAAAAAAAAAAAAAAAAGGAAGAGAAAAGTGGCAAGAACGCTAACAATTCTATCCTGACACTGCCAGGCACTCCCCAAGCATCGTCCTCCGTCACCTGAAAAGGACGCTGTGAGGCAGGTGTTATGTTCTCCAATTTGCAGATCAGGAAACTGAGGCTCTAGAGGTTAAAGACACCAGCCGATGGTTGGTAGAGCCGGCATTCAAGCTCGGGCCATTGGTGCTTTCCACATGCAAGGCTGCGGGGGAGACAGTTATATCAAGTCAATGAAATATAATAAAAGGGAAGAGAACCTCATTCTAAGCTTCCTGAGAAGCAATCAAAAAAACGCAGCCACATTCCACCAGCCACCCGCCCCTTTGATCCCTCTGAGTCCCGCCAGGGTGGTCTTACTCACCCCGCCATACCCCTGCCTAAACTGCAGTGACTCTCTCTGTTTTGAGGACAATGGCCCGCTGCCCCGCTGTGATGGTTTATAACTGGGGGCCCTCAGGCGGGGCCGTTCTGCTCTCGTGCCTTGGCCTCCCCATGCATGAATGGGGCATTCAGATTGGATGATTTCTAAATGCTTTCCTGGCCCTGATATTCTGTGGTTCAGGTGTCACACGGAACGTGGCTTGTGGCTGGGCCTTCATGCTCTTCACTGCACGAGTGAAAGGCTGGGCTGGGCGGGGGGAGGGCATGTGGGGATGCGGGCAGGCACCACGGTGCCGTGCGAAGCAAGGACTCCACTCCCAGGCTCCTACGCTTCCCTGGGGACCCACCCAAGTCTCTGCACTTCTGGGAACCCTCTGAGCCCTTCCAAGTGGGGTAGATTCCTTCCTCCCGCTCGCCTCTCCCGAGCTACCTCTGTTATAAGCATCTGCTGTGAGCCAGACACTGTGCTAGATTCTGGGGACAAAACAGCGATAATAATAACCACGAAGAGAAGCAGCCGGAGCCACGTTGGCACAAACCGTCACTGGGCAGTAGCGGGTGAGGAGACGCGGGGTCTCTGAGCTGGAAGAAGGAAGGTGGAGTGTGGGGGATTTTAGTGAGGGGGCTCAGCCAGAGCTCGGCAGGCTTTGGAAACAGGCGGGGGATAGTCTTGTGAGAGAAAGTCATTGTTTTTGTGGATGAGCAACCACTGTTTGGCCACTGGGGTCCTATCCGCAGGCAGTGAGGACGGCACCCTGTGGGCTTGAGGACCTGTGAGGCCCCGTGGAACATCCTGCCCCTGCATTTAGCGCCCGCACCGGGCCCTGGTCTAACAAGCGCACGGTGTTATTAAGTCGCTTAATCCTCAGAACAGGCCATGGGGGACGAGGGAGGTCCACATCTGCCCACCTCTCAGACAAGAGGGTGAGGACACAGGGGCTGACTGGCCTGAGGCTGCTCTGCTGGCCCAGGTGGAGCAAGGATTTGAACCAGGTGGTCCTTGGCACCAGGCGCGCTTCCGCTGCTCCGAAAGGGCGTGCTCACGAGCCTCTCGGCCGCCTTGCAAGAGAGGAGTGGCCACGACTCCATGCGCTCTGTCCAGAGGAGGACAGGAGGCCGCGGGAGGACGGCCCCATGTCCCAGGACACGCAGCGTGTTTGGAAGGGGCAGGAGGGGCCTGGAACCTGGGCTCCCACCCCCACACCCTGCTGTCCACGATCTCTTTCATGGGGGGTGGGATTGGGGGTTGGGTTGTTGATTAAACTTGAGCTCAGTACCAGTGACCGCGGCCTGCCCCGTGGCAGCCCCGGGACATCCCCTTGGCTGCTTGCGCAGAGATAGTTTCCACTGCCGCGGACAGGCACGACAGACTCGCTGTTCCCATTACAGCCCGGGGAGGGGTGACGCAGGGCTGTGGGAAAGCAAGGCAGGAAGTGCTGAGTGGAGAGACAGAGTGGGGGAGAGAGGTGGCCCATCTGAATTCCAGGAAGCCAGGATGTGGAGGGGAGGGAGGAGCCGGTGGGAGACACAGGACCTGTGCCGGCTGCCGTGCGGGCCGCAGCCGGAGAGGAGGCCTGGGGCAGCCGTGCGGGAAGGGGAGCGACTGTGGAGGGCAGACAACTAAACCCACAACCACACCTGCCCTGCGTGGAAGGAAACCAACCAGCGCCCCATCAGCGCAACCTCTGCTGGAAATGCCCAGCTCGGGAGGGCTCCTAACGTGGCGGGGCGGGAGAGATGGGCACCTTATGGGCTCTAGCAAGAGGCGCTTAAGGGCGCTGCAGCCAGTTTGGGATACTGCTGGTCAGGAATGGCTCTTGGGAGAGGAAGCAAGTGTTTTAGAGTCGTTCATTCATTCGCTCACCGTGCGCCTTCACGAGATTCCACGGCGTGCAGGAGTGAATAGCGCTGGGGCCGTCCTGCCCTGAGACCCCAGTGGCCCCCTCGGGGTGGCAGGTGTGGTGGTTGAAGCACTGACTCTGGCGCTGGGCAGCCTGGGTTAAAGCCCGGGTCTACCACCTACCAGCTGGGACCTTGGGCAAATGCCTAAAACCTCTCCGTCTCAGCTTTCTGACTGGGAACGGGGGAACTACCAGGACTGTCGAGAGGAAAGAAGTGAACGTGTGGAAAGAACAGGGAGGGGCAGCCCAGGGGCCTGGGGGCTCTGCCCAGGGGCATCGGTAGAGGCCAGAGACCAGGACCTGGCGCTGGGCAGAGGGTGAGGGGTCTAGGAGTGGTGGGCATCAGGGAGGGAGGGGTACAGACCTGGGAGGAGGTGACGGGAGGTGGAAAAGGACCACAGGTTTGGGTGGTGAATATGCGGGAGCTGGGGGGTCGGGAAGGGGCACAGCTGGCCCTGGAATCTGCTCACACTCACCGCACAGGCCGCACGTGCACAGGTGCCTGATGTTTCCGTTAAACCAAAACTCCAGCTTGGAACTGAGATTCCTGCCCTGATTACCCAAAGGAGTGGGGGACATGGATGCTGATTAGCCAGGCTCAGCAGGCCAGGGCGTACCTGGGTCGAGATGGCCCGGAGGGGGATAAGAAACTCTGGGGGCTAAACGTGCCCAATCCAGGAACATCAACCATGACCGGCTGTTGTGACAAACTGGCTCACTGTGACTGGCTGTCTTTGTGAAGCTCACTATGAAGCAGCCAGCGAAAGAGATGTCAGACCAATTCCCAGGGTTATGTCTGGTGTTCTCTCAGATCACTGGCGACCTGTAAACTAAATAGATTTAATTTATAAAATAGATTTAATTCCTCTTTTTGGAGGTGACAGGCATCAGGTACGGTCATTTCTGGCAGCAAATACATGAGTTTGAATTCACCGGGCCTCATTTCTGCATGTGGAGGTTAAAAATGGCGTCCACAGAAAGGGTTGTTGTGGGCAGTAAGATCTCCGTAGAGCGGGGCTCGGGCCTGGCACAGAGTGGGTGCCGTGCATAGTGTCAGCCACCCTGACGGTGTCAGCACACCCCTGGCATGGAGGCGAGGGCAGGGCGCCCTCCCAGCCCCG